GTTATCAAGGGTGCTGTAAGTACGCCCAGGGCTTTACAAAGCACAGGAAAGCTTAAAGAAGCACCTTTTAAAAATCAGATAATCTAATATAGGTGGGTCCAAAACAAAGGTCAATGGAGGAAATGTCTGAAGAAATGGTGGAATGACCGATGGGGAAAGAACGGTGCACTGTATCTAATATCCTCTGAGGGCCTGTAGAGATGTTAGTGAGGAGGAAGGAGAAATGGAAACAGAGAGGGTAGAATATTCTCATGAGGAATGTTCTCATCCTCTCTAGGCTGCGGAAGGTGGAAATAACTAGGCTGTTTGAGGGAATGTGGGGACCCAGGGAAGTCAAAAGGGAATCCTTCTGTAGAGGGAAAGATTCCTGCAATGTATGGGGCTGGAGAAGAGGCAGAGTGGAATAGGGAATAGAGACCTGACCTCTAAGCCAGGAAGATGGAGGTTCCAGTATTGCCTTTAAACATATACTAGTTGTATTACTCTGGGCAAGTCATTTAAACATTCAGTGCCCTAGACATTTGGGATTCATTTTGGGGCGGGGGGTGAATTTGAATGAGGAAAAATTACATCTTTATTTTTACCAAATGTTTGTTTTCTTTATACTTGTATGCATTTTGTTTGCTTTTGCATTTAAACACATTATCATAGGGGTCCATCTTCACACCAGATTGCCAAAGGGTTCATGACCACAAAAATGGTTAAGAACTCCAGCTCCAAGATTGTAAGTGACAGAGAAGGTGCTGGCCTACACTGGGAAAAGGAGTTTGCTATAGCAATAAAATCACATTTCCAGTCCCTTTGTTCCAGACAGAGGCACCACTGGGAACTATGAACTTGATTAATTTTTTTGATAACTGTATTTCAAATTCCTTCTTAACTCCATGTATTTTATGTATTTAGAAACATCCTGAGAAGGCATCCGTAGGCTTCACCCAGTCACCAAAGGCATTCATGACTCAGAAAAAGTTGATAACCTTTGATCTGGTTGAAACCCCTCATTTTAGAGATGGGGAAACAGCCAAGAGCACACCAGTCTTCTGAAGCCATATTCAGTATTCTTTCCTATATATCTCTGTCTTTTTTTTTTTTACTAATTTTTATATAATGATTTCATTCATAAATGGAAACTCCCTTTGTCCATGGAGGTTGACACTTGTTCTGCAAAATCTTAAGAGAGTTGCTAGGATAAGGTAAATAACTTGCTCAGGACCCCACAGCCAGGATGCATCAGAGACAGGACCCAGTCTTCCTAACTCCAACACTGGCTTTCTATCCACTATATGAGATCACATCTCCATGCTGCCTTCTATTAAGAAGAAATCTGCTTGCTTGTGTCTTTCATTCATTGGTCTTAATTGTGCCAGCTGGGGCCAAGTGGTATAAAAGCTTGATGTCTCTGCCCTGTGACGAGCCTTCAGATGTCAAAAAGTAGTGATGATTTTTCCTCCTTTCCAGTTTTTCTTCTCTGAATTGATTATCCCCAAGTGACAAGGTTAATGTAATAGTTATCTGGACTCTGTCACCAGGTGGGCCTTGAGTCCAGAATTCAAGATTCGCATTGGCACATTGGTTATTGAATTGAATTCAGAGTCAGCCTTGGAGAACAGAGCAAATCTAACCAGCACATACCGGGATTGAACCTGTGACTCTGGTCTTATGAGCATCCTGCATTAACCAGCTGAGACACACTAGATTAAGATGATAACATTTGGTGTTTCTATTCAGGGGTTCATGGTGGTGTCCTCCTTAGGGATAGGATTGGGGAAGAAGAGCTCATAGGCTCATAGACCTAGAACTGAAGGGACCTGTAGAAGCTGATTAGCCCAAACTCCTCATTTTTCAGTGAAGGAAACTGAAGCCCAGAGATATTAAATAAGTAACATAAGGTCATATACATAGTGAGTAGAACAGGGGACAGCTAGGTGGCACAGTGGATAGAGCAACGGCCCTGGATTCAGGAGGACCTGAGTTCAAATGCGGCCTCAGACACATAACTCTTACTAGCTGTGTGACCCTGGGCAAGTCACTTAACCCCCATTGCCCAACCAAAAAAAAAAAAACCAAAAAACAAACAAACAAACATAGTGCGTGGGACAATTGGGATTTGAACCCAGGTCCTTGACTCCATCTCCAATGCTCAGCATGCCCGATACTGCCTCCCATAAAGCTTTGTCCTAAGCCTCTTGTCTGGCATAGTTAATAACGATGAATGACTCTAAGAGTGAGAGTTTGAATTCTGTGAAAGGTTGACTGAGTCAGGCATCATCTTAATAAATTCAATGAGGATTTATTGAGCAAGTACCCATGCAAGATCATGTATTGGACCTACAAGAGAAGAAAAGCTTAAACTCTCTCCTAAAGTGCTATATAAATGTGAATCATCATTATCTTCATCATCTCATCTTCATCATCCTCTTCTTCATCATCATTTCATATTCATCATCACCATCTTCTTCATCATCATCATCTACACCATGTAATAGTTTGAGCAGAAAGCACCTTGAAATATTGAAGGAGGAGCTTGGGCAAAGGGTCCATTGCCCCTTAGAGTAGCCCACCCTCTCATCTGTCTGGCTTTCTTCCTAAGGGCCACTTAGGGGCTATAATTCTGTCATTAAGTAATTGAAGGTCCATGAGATTCCAAGGCCTATTTAAAGTACTCAGAATATGTAGCAAGAATTAGCTTCATCCATTCTCTGGGTGATTACATCTGCTCCAATCAGCGGGTGGGTTCCTGAGTGCAGTACTTGTCTGCCAGAGCATTTGTACTCCTGGAATGGGACTGAGGAAGGAGGATGCAACTTTATGAGAAATCTCGAGATTGAGAAAATCATCCTTGGTCTTCAAGATTGGCCCTTGGAAGTGAAAATAGCTTCTTGAAAAATCTTATAAGAAGAAACAACCTTGAATCTTTTAGAGTGAGATACAAAACAGACAATTTGTAGAGGTGAAGAAGACGATCATTCATTCATTCATTTATTTATTTTGTTGAGGCATTTGGGATTAAGGGACTTGCCCAGGGTCACACAGCTAGTAAGTGTTTTGTGTCTAAAGCCGGGTTTGAACTCAGGTCCTCCTGACTTCAGGGCCAGTGCACTATCCACTGCGCCACCTAGCTGCCCCTTGGTTCAATATTAAGAAAGAGCTCTTCCTGGTTAGAGTTCTTTAACAACAGAATGGGCTTCCTTGAGTTGGAGTAAACTCTCTGTGATCAGGAGTGTTTAGGCAGAGACTGGATATCTCTGTGTTAGGATTGCTTTAGGTGGAATCATATAAAACACCACAGTTTTGGAATTAGGAAGACCCAAATTCAAGTCTTGCTTTATATACTTATTAGTTTATGTGACCTTGGGCAAGTCACATAATCTGCCAACCTGTTTATCCTCATCTGTCAAATTGGGATGATTAAAATAGCATTTACCTCCTATGGTTGCTGTGAGAAACAAAAGAGAATGTTGCAAAGTTCTTGGAAAACCTTAAAGAACCATATAAAAGTTAGTTATTGTTGTTATTCCTGTATTGGGAGATGTATCAGAAACCCCTTCCTCTTTTATTGTAGTTCTGACACAGCACGTGTCCTCTGTGAGATGAGTCACTTGGATTCATTCAGGCAAATATTTATTAAGTATATTCTGCTTGATTTTTGCCATTGATGATGCAAAGATGAAATAGGAAATGGTCCCTGCCCTTTAGGACCTTATAATCAACAAGTTTGTTATTCACCACTTTGGCTGAGGCACTATACTCAGTGCTGGAGATATGAAGACAAAAAGGAAACAGTCTCTGCCCTCAAAGAGCTTACATTTTATCAAGAGAGAAAGCACAGACACAAAATTAAATAGATATGACATATATGCAAAATAAAGACTTCAATTTCAAGGGGTAGGCATTAAGAGCTGGACAAGGGGGTGTAGAAGAAGAAGGATCTATGTAGGAGATGGCATTAAGCTAAGCTTTGTTGGAAACTAGGAATTCTAAGAGATTAGTAGTGAAGAATGGCATTCCAGGCATTGGGGACACCCTGTACAAAGACAGGGAGATAACCTCTGAACCCAAATAATTGTAATGCAGATTACAACATGGCTGAAAAGGAGGAGAATCAGAGCATAGATTGAGAGCCAGAAAGGACCTTCAAGGCAGATCATCTAGTCCAAATCTCTAATTTCACAGAAGTGGAAACTGAGGCCCAGAAAGATTAAATGATTTATCCAAAGTCATGTGGGTTATAAGATGAAAGAGCTGGAAAGGACTTCAAAGGCCACCCGGTCCAACACTCTCATTTTACAGATGGCGAAACCAAGACCCAGAGGGCTGAAATGAACTCGAGGTCTTACAAGTAGTAAATGGAAGAATCAGGATTTGAACCCAGATCTTTTGATAACAAATCTAGCACCTAGCATTAAGGGGGTCATGTTCACTTTCGGTCCTGGCATCGGGGAAAGCTTTTTGCGGAAGACAGCCCTTGACTTCAAACAGTTCTTTACTCTTTTGTGTATCTTTCTTTCCCCCCCCAGAGCCCTAGGGCCATATTCTCCCATGTCTTTGGCTCCCTTTCTTTCTTAGGATGAGATTGCCTATCTACAAGTGGCTGTGAGAGCAGCCAGGCGATAGAGTTGATACACCTCATCCTTTATTTAGTAGCATAATGGAAACGCTTGTGTTTTAAATATATTTTATGCTATGGTCTTATCTTAAATATATCTGCTGCATGTTAATAATTAAACAGATATGTAAGTGTTCAGTTTGGGGTAGGAAAATAGGAACTATGAGTCCAGTGCATAATTCTCTTCCCATGGGAGATTTGCCTGAATCAGGATTTTAGAATTAGGTCCATAGTCTTATCCGTATAAATAGCCTCTTTTGGGAGGAGGGGAGGCTCCAGGAATACAGGATAGAGCTTGATTCGCCCCAGATGTTCCCTTGAGTCTGCAATAAAGTCGTTTCCTGGTCTAAGCTCAAATGGCATGACATTCAGGGTCTCTCCTATTTCCTTTCAGAAGGGCAGCTCATTTCCCTCATCTTCATCTTCTGCCGAACAAAGGACAGGACGCCTCCCGATGCCGAAAGGTCACCTGGGCCGCAGAGGGGCACCACCCCAGCCCCAGCTCACCCCCAAGGGGCCCAGCACCACCAAAGACCCCGAGATCCAGCTGCTGCAGTTGGAGAGCGAGGAGCTTAGGGGCCAGCTGGGACGTCTTCGGGTCAATCCCCTTCGCTTCGTGGGCCCGCCAGAGAGTCTGGAAGCTGGAGGACGTGGACTCAGGGAACTGGCCCAAAGAGAGTGGGCTGAGCCCTGTGAGGTGAGGCAGCTTCTCCCTTTGATCATCCCTGGAGTCATTTCCGAGGCTGGTCAGCTCTTTCTGGGGTGGTGGGGGAGGAAATTCTTTTATTTAATGACTCAGAGCTACCTTCCTCACTGAAAACACTGTAAATGCCTCCTTGGAAGCAGCTTCTTCATTCTCTGGGATCTGTCCCCTGACTCTCTGCCTCTTACTTCCTACCACAAGAAGAGGAAGAATTCCAAAGAATGAGCCAGATTTTTCCTGCACTAGCTAGGGTTCGATGGTGTCCACACCTTGAAGAAGGGTGATCAGCGCATGGGAGACAGCATATGGTGGAGTCAAAAGAGTACTTGGATTCAATCTACTCTTGATTCTTACTACCTACGGGACTTTGGACAAGCCATCTTACCTCTTGAGGCCTCAGTTTTCTCATCTATAAAATGGGAGGGAGTTGAACTAGATGGCCTCTGGAGGCCCTTCCAGCTATGTTGTGAGTTTGAATCCTGGCCCTGACACATATTAACTGTGTGCCCTTGGGGAAAGTCACCTAACATCTCTGGGCCTCACTTTCCTCATCTATAAAATAATGGGTTTAGACTAGCTGACCTCCAAGGTGCCCTCCAGACCTCGGATCCTATGGGGATTGTTTCATTATTTGCGCCTGCATCTCCAGTGCCTGGCACATAGTAGGCAATTAATAGACACTTAGGGATTGATTAAGCCTAGGTAGTAGGTGACTGGGCAACTCGGTGGTGCCATCAGGTGTGGAGTCAGGAAGACTCATCTTCCTGAGTTCAAATCCAGCCTCAGACACTTACTAGCTGTGTGACCCTGGACAAGTCACTTCACCCTGTTTGCCTCAGTTTCCTCATCTGTAAAACTGAGCTGGTGAAGGAAATGGCAAACCACTCCAGTATCTTCGCCAAGAAAACCCCAAATGTGTTCACGAATAGTCAGACATGACTAAAATGACTGAACAAAAACAGTAGGTGCTTAATAATTGCTTGACCAATGAAAGGAATAGAGTTGAGCAGATGTAATAGTCTATCCTAGGAATCCTGCTTGCTCAGCTAACTCAATCAAGCATTTAATAAGCTCCTGCTAGGGATACAAAGACAAAAATGAAACACCCCCTGACCTCAGGGGGCTTAGATTCTTTTGGAGAAAACAAAATGCAACACAGACACATAAGTATAGTGTTTGTAGGTGCAATTTCTTTTTTCTTTCTTTCTTTTTTTTTTTTTGTATCTTGCCTCTCTCAGGCTTTTTCCTCTTTCTATATACATAGTAAATATAAACTTCTACCAGGTAGTTTGAGTGTGCATGCGTATATAAAGTAAATAATAATTATTGGGGCCTTGGAGGAAGTACTTGCAGCAGCTAAAAGCTCTAGAAAATGCCTCGTGACAGATGCGTTTTATATACATTATCTCCTTTGAGCATCATAGTAACCTTGTAAGGCTGCTACTATATTTCATATTTCTCCATTTCACAGAAGAGGAAAATGAGGTTTCTTGTTCAGTCGTGTCCAACTCTGTACAACTCCATTTGGGGTTTTCTTGGCAAAGATACTGGAGTGGTTTTCCATTTCCTTCTCCAGCTCATTTTACAGATGAGAAAACTGAGGCAAACAGGGTTAAGTGACTTGCCCAGAGGCACACAGCTAGTAAGTGTTTAAGGCTGGATTTGAACTCAGGAAGGTGAGTCTTCCTCACTCCGGGCCCTGTGCTCTGTGCACTATTACACTATCTAGCTGCCCTTTGGAATCAAACAGAAGTCTAATTTCTCTGCAATGTCACAGCTCTCATGCCCACTCTCAGTCTTCTCTTCTCCAGGTTAAATAGATTCTCAAAATGTATAAACCTGAGCCTCTGGATAAGTCACTCAAACACTCCCAGCCTCAGTTTTCTCACCTGTAAAATGGGGATAATAACTAATGTGTCAAGCCCTATAGAGTTGTCTGTGGGCCTAATTAAATCATGTATGGAAAATACTTTATGCACATTAAAATGCTATATAAATGCTCTCCTTTATTCTAATGACACTATTTCAGCCATTAATGTTATTATGAGTGTGTTTTATATTATACACTTTTCTGCCAACAGTGCTCAGCTTGCAAAGGAATCTTGCTGACAGCCTAGTGCATTTTCCTCTTGGCTTAGCCCTTAGCCCTCAGTTCAGCCAGGGCTAATATGTGCCCCCCGCTGTATCACCAGCCAGGGTGAAAGAGAGTGAAGTCTATTTGACTTTGACCTTGCAAATGACACAAGCCCTTTGAATTCCACCTTGGCCATATTCAGCACTGTGGAAAGGGCCTGCTGAGGTGCTAGCTGGGAGATAGGAGCCTGCTTCATCTGTAGTCTGCAATGTTTCTTACTGAGCTGCTTCTGATGTTGGGGGGTAAACTTATACTTGGTGAACCATGAATTCTGATCCCCAACCCTGAAGCTAGTGTTTCCTCTCAAAATACCTATCTCTATCTTTAAGTAGATATCTATCTAGAGATATAGATATTTGTGCATGATAAACACACATACACACAAATATATGCATATATTCATAATCATATATTCATAATTATATAAATATAGATAGGTATAAATATTATATTCATACTATATATGTAAATGTGTATATATTTATATATGTGCATATTATATATAATACACACTATAATGTATGTGTTATATATACTATATGCATATTATGTGTTATATACAATAATATGATAACGCATGTCATATATATTATATATCATATATACACATGTGTATTGTGTATAATGTGTACATATATCTATATTATATATAATATATAACATAATATAATGTAGAGATTATAGACATGTGTTATGTAGTATATACATATGGGAACCATTTCCAATCCATATCCTGCCACTGGACCCAGAAGGCTCCAGAAGAGAAAGCGAGGCTGGTGACTTTGCACAGCCCTCTCTCACTTAAATCCAATTCACCTGCATGTCATGGTATCACCTCCCTGATGTCATGGTCCTCTTTGAGATCAGAGGACAAACAACTATGACAATATATACAAATATAATATATATTATATATACATATATACATATATTGTATATATGTATATATAAACACATGTATATGTTGTATATCTGTATACATACGTATATTATATATGTATATATTATGTATACACATTGTATGTGTATGTATTATATATATTGCATATATCTATATATCAGATGTATATATTATATGTATATACGCACATATTATATGTATATATGATATATGTATATATACATATGTTACATATGCATATATTGTACATATAATATATTTATATTTTTTTATATAATACACACAGACCTCTTAGACGCTCTACTTTCCTTCAAGGCTTAGTTCTATTTCTACTTTAGACACGAAACCTCTCTGACCATCCAGCTCCTCTCGGCACGTTGTTCCAACATCTTGCATCTATTTTCTATATATCTATCTAGGTACATGTATAGGTATAGGTCTCCCCTGGCTTACCAGTAAGCTTATTGAGGTTAGGGAATGTTTTGGTTTTTCTCTTGGTATCCTTAGGGCCTAGCACAGTGACTGCCACATTGGAGGCTCTTAAAAGATGCAGGTTGCTTGATTCATTTCCTTACTGACTTTTGTATATTTGTCTCCCCCTCATAGAATGGAAGCTCCTTGAGGGCAGGGACTGATTCCTTTTGATCCCCAGTACTTAATTCTGCTTCTGGAACATAGAAGACACTGATAAACATGTGATGAATAACAGATTGGTAGCTTGAGAAGCCACAGCTGGGGAGTCTCGTGTGGTGTTTGTACAGAGCCCTGGGTGTTATGTGAGGAGGCCTAGATTTGAATCTTAGCTCTGCTGCTGTTGACTTACGTGACCTTGGGAAAGTTATTTTGGAGAGCTATGGACCTCAGTTCTCTCGTGTGTAAAACAAACAGACGACCTTGAAAGTCCCTTCGGGCTCCCAATCTGTGATCCTTTGAAATAAAAGAACTTGAATGAGAGATCTTCATGCACCTTCTGTTTATAAAATTCTATGATCCCAAGACTTCACAGATAGCTAGAGAATAGTCTTTCAAAGACTCTTCATATCCCATCCCAAAGGTATTTGACACAGACTTCTCCAATCCTTAGTTCTGAATGTTCATATGGTCTTTAAACTGGCCAGATACGCAGAAGGAAAATCTGTTGAGATGCACAGGAGGGCTGGCATTTCTGGCAGTCATCAGCCTTCTGTAAAGTGGGCCTTGGGGCTATGCCCTCATAAACTTTTGGAGACAGTCCAATTGCAGTAACACAACTTTTGCAATCTTCTTCAAGGGGTTAGAGAAAGGTACACATTATAGGCAGAGCGCAGATGAAATGGTTGGAAAGTGCATCTCTGGGACATCTGTGTTTGAATATTATGTGTGAGCTTCTGAGAACACATAGGAACAATGTAATGAGGTTTCCTTGAAATAGGCTCTAGAGATCCCCCTCCATGTCCCATTTAGTGCTGCTCTCCAGGTGAGGTCTGAGAATAAAAGTTAGTAGCTTGCCTCTATATAGTACCTTCAGATTTGCAAAATACTTTACACATGTGATCTCATTTGAGCCTTATCATTGAAATAGGTTTTGTGATTATTCCTATTCCATAGATGAGGGAATTGAGATTCAGAGAGATCAAATCACTCACTCACCCAGACTCATACAGTTAGTCAGGTGGTGGAAACAAAGTCTTTCGTTTCCAGCGTTGTTCAGCTGTGTCCGACTCTTTGTGACCCCGTTTGGGGTTTTCTTGGCAGATACTGGAGTGGTTTTGCCATTTCCTTCTCTAGCTCATTTTGCACATGAGGAAACTGAAGCAAACAGGGTTAAGTGACTTGCCCAAGGTCACACAGCTAGTAAATATCTAAGTCCAGATTTGACCTTAGGAAGATGAGTCTTCCTGACTCCAGGCCTGTCACTCTATCCACTGCACCACCCAGCTGGAAATAAGGTCTTCCAGATTCAAATTCCACTGCTGTCTCTACTATGCTTTGCTCTCTCCCTAGAAGCATAATATGGAGTGGATATGGCCATTTTCCCCTTCCTGGAGACAGTGAAAAAGTGATTCCATTTTATTTAGCCAAACTCACTATCTCTTGAAGGTAGTCATTGGCCAGTGTCATGGAATCATAGCATCATAGATCTGGAAGGGCCTCTAGTCTGAATGCCCTCATTACACTGAGGGGAAGACTGAGAAGATGCACACAGAGCAAGTGACTCACATAAGGTTACTCACTAAGACACTGGCAGAGCAGGGCCTCAAATCTAGGTCTCCAGACTCAAAGTCCATGGCTCTTTTCATGGCAATACCCAATATCTGCTCAACATCTTCATTAGAATGCTCAATCTGGAATAATAATCACAACTGACATGGAATGATGACAAAGTTCTTTATATAAATAATACCAAATCAATGTGGTGGGAGTACTAGCAGCTAGGGGGATCAGAAAAGGCCTCATGCCAGAGTCATTTGACATTCTTGATCACAATTGAGCCTCAACACAACCCTGTGAGATAAATGCTAAAGAGTTTGTGGTCTCCATTTTGCAGATGAGGAAACTGAGGCTCAAGGAAGTTGATATTTGCCTGTTTCCAAAGGTAAAGAAGTATAGGATTTCAATTCTAACTCCAGCGGTATATGTGCTTAATCCCTGCTGTTTCCATCACACCCTTGAGTGTTGCTTTCTATTTCTATGGGTAATAATAAGAATAATTTTAAAAACTGGGTTTTATATAATACTTTTAGATTTGCAAAGCACATTTGTTAGCATATTTGATCCTGATGACAACCTTATGAGGTAGGTGCTATTATTACCCCCATTTTACAGATGAGGAAACTGGGGCTGGAACAAGCTAAGTTACAGGATCTGAACTCACTTCTTCCTGACTCTAAGTTCAACACTCTATCTACTTATCCCACCCAACTGTCACCCTCGTCCTCCATCCCATAGTTTGAGTGGGTAAATAAAGTAAGAATGAACTCTCCTTTCCTTAAATAGTGAGACCAGGTCAATGTATCAGACAAACCTTGCTGTAAAGGGTTTCTTATTCTGTCTAGCCAGGTATTGACTTTCTGTATGGGCCTCTGACGGGGTTTTAAAACCTGACTGCGAGGTTTTAGCACACAGATCTTGAGCCAGGGCTATTAGCTCAAACCAAAGAAAAAAAAAAAAAAAAAAGGAAAAAGTTGCATCTTTTGCTTAAGGTTGAGTAAGTAGATGCCACTGACTAAGCAGAAATCGACTAATTGTGTGATGGCTCCTGCTCTCTCCTGACCAATGTGGACAGGAACACCCAGATGCCCTTGCTCCAAAGATTGTGGCCCTGGAGATGACTCCTGGGTTCTGGGTCCCCTCAGCTGGGCTTTGGTAGATGAACAATTGCTTTTCTGCCATAGGAAGGGCTCGTCGGGCAGAAGCCTGCTGACGTGGAGCAGCTGCTCAAACAGTCTCAAAGGGAACTGCTTTGGCTACAGAGGCAGCTGGCCTTCGTCTCTACAGGAAGTCCCACCTACCTCCTGCCTCCTCCTGACCAAGTAAGTCCCTGCACCATCTGCCTTCAGGCAGACTGCATGGGGTGTAGGTGGGGAAAGAAGGACTGGCTTTCTCTTATATTTTTTTGAATGCCCAACCAAAGAAGAACAGAGAATGGGTTTTTGAAAATCTAAAATTCACATTGACTCCTAATTATGCATGTGTGAATTATCCAGTTGGTAGTTGTTGGTGATGATTTTTATTTGAAGAAAGACTTAGTTTCCCTCTGCCTCATCAGGCTCTTCTCTCTCTCCTCTTACTGTCATTTGGTTTGTGCTCAGTGAATACACGATCAATTTTAACTTCAGCTTAAGCAAAGTATAATTATGATTATAATTACAATCACATATTAAGAATTAATTATTGTAGGGGCAGTTAGGTGGCGCAGTGGGTAGAGCACCGGCCCTGAAGTCAGGAGGACCTGAGTTCAAATTTGGCCTCAGAACAAGCACTTAACACTTACTAGCTGTGTGACCCTGGGCAAGTCACTTAACCCCAATTGCCTAAAAAAAAAGAATTAATTATTGTAACTAATAATTATGTTTAATATTAGTTTATTACATTTAATTTTATCATTGTTTTTCAGTCTTGTCTGACTCTTTGTGACTCCATTTGGGGTTTTCTTGGCAGAAATACTGAAGTGGTTTGCCATTTCCTTCTCTGGCTCATTTTACAGATGAGGAAACTGAGGCAAACAAGGTTAAGTGACTTGCCCAGGGTCATACAGCTAATACCTGTCTGAGGGAAGACTTGAACTCAGGAAGACTCATCTTCCTGCTTCCACACCCATCCCTCTATCCACTGTGGCATCTACTATTAATTATGATCATAATTAGTTAGAATATTATATCATCTGTTGCAAAAAAAGGTTTCTAATACATTTGATTCATCAATACCTTAAGGTTCTCTGATTTTATTAGGGTGGGATAATGACAATCCTTCCCTGTTGCTCCCCATAGACAGCTTCAGTAGATGGCTTTCAAGAGCTGTCTTGGGAGGAAAAATTCCTCACTATGTGGGGAGCATTGTGATGAACCTCTTTGAATTTCGCTAAGCTGTGCTTTTGTCTTTGTGTCTTTGTGGGAGTAGGGTTGGAGCTATGATTTCATTAATATGGAAAACTCAAGTTTCTACAGTTGTAGTTAAGCAACTTGTCTGTAATTTATTGTTGTAATTGTCATCTTTCAGTCATGTCCAACTGGCTGGGGGCCCTGAGAAATTAAGGAAATGACTTGCCCAGGGTCAGGCAGCCAGTACATGTTAGGGGTAAGACTTGAACCCAGGTTTTCTTGACTCCTGCTATCCCCTGTGCCATGCTGCCTCTCAAGGCTGCTTTTCAGATGAGCAGAACCCTAGACAGCGCACCACTGGCCCTCACCTGAAGCCCTTTTCAACTTGGTGATGGTGGTAGTTGTTATAATAACTTACATTTACACACTTTCAAAGTTGCAAAGATTTTAATGTATATTCTCACTTAAATTTCACCATGACTCTGAGGTAGGTAGCATAGGTATTTGAGGCAGCTAGGTGGTTCAGTGGATAGAACACTGGGTCTGGAATCAAGAAGACCTGAGTTCAAATCCAGCCTCAAACACATATTAGCTGTGTGATCCTGAGCAAGTCACTTAACCGTTTGTCTTACTTTCTTCATCTATAAAATGAACTGGAAAAGGAAATGGCAAACCACTCCATTATCTTTGCCAAGAAAACCCCATGGACAGTGTTGGCATTCTATGGTCCATGGGATCACAAAGAGTTGGATATGACTGAACAACAAAGCATAGATATTATTATCTCCATTACAAGTGAAGAAACTGAGACTCAGAAAAGTTAAGAGGCTTGAGCATGGTCTCCCACTATACTCTGTTGACTCAGGGAGCACCTCCCCAATCTTGTGCTCTACTGTCTAAGAATTCAGTCACCTCCATGATACGATGATTGAATGAATAAATGAAGTATTTATTAAGCATTTATGTACAAAGTATTGTGGTAAGTGCTGGGGATGCAAATAGGAAAATCAGACAGTCCCTGATTTCATAGAACTCATATTCTAACGAGAAAAACGACAACCGAAATGGAGAAGTATCATATGATAGCAGGACATTAATGCAGTCATCAAGCATTTATTAAGCACCATTTATTAAGTGCCAAGCACTTTGCCTCACTGAGAACTGACTGTCTAGTTTTTGCTGTTTGTTGGGTAGAATTAGATAAAACTTATAAATTATAAAGCTTAAATAAGTCATAGTCCCTACTCTCATTAGGCTCACAGTCTAGTAGATACTTGAATGATTGAGTGAAAAAGCATTTGGTGGATACTTTTTATGTTCCAAGCACTATGCTGAGGGTTGTAGGTACAAAGACAAAAGCAAGCCTTTCCTTCCCTCAATGAACTTACATTCTAATAGAGGGCAAAAACCAGATAAGAGAAGAATATGAACTTTACTCAACAGGTAACAGGAAGCCATGTCATGGTATGAGAAGGTACATGCCTACAAAAGATTACTCTGATGGTAGTAGGAAGGAAGGAGTGAAGACAGAGAGAGAATGGAGATGGGAAGACCCATTAGGAAGCTCTAGAGGAGAGAGTGAGGATGCAGATGGTTTTACCAGAATGTGGCCATTGCACATACTACAGCTTCTTGGTGCCACAGGTGAGAGTTGGGCAAAGGTAGACACCAAAAGTGGATGAATAGCTCTGAAAAAGGCTCAGCGAACCTTCACACCAGAGGTGCTAGTCCTCCTGAACATCTCATACAGCCCAGATAATAACAGGCTTTGAACGCCAATCTGAGGCAATTTTATCCAACAGTTTTTTGAGTATGGGAGTTGTGTGATTGAACCTGTGCTTTTAGAAGAGTTATATGTACTTAGCACGTAGTAGGTGCTTAATATATGCTCATTCACTGAGAAGTCTAATTGTGCTTTGAGGCAGGCTCCTCTAACTCCTCCTCCTCTTCCTCCTCCTCCTCCTCCTACCACCACCACTACTACTACTGATAATAATAATAATGACGACTGACTTACAGACATCTCATTTGAGCCTCACGAAAACTTTGTGTAGATGACGCAGGTATTGTCCTCCCTGTTTTATGGATGTGGCGACTAAGTGGCTTGTCTTCATGCATTCTATGGCTCAGCCAAACTGTCCCGCTTCCCTTGTACATGACATTCCATCCCCCGCCTGTGCGCTTTTGCAAAGGCTGTCCGTCATGGCTGGAAAGCACCTCCTCCTCGTGTCAAACTCTCAGAATCTCCATCATCTTTCAGAGCTTTGCTGATGGCCCACTTCCAGGGGTGTATTGGAGCCAAAGTGAGTCATTTCACAAGAGCTGATTGCTCAATTTTCAGCATAAGCATTTACACCTTGAGATTGGAAAATGCTGCAAATCAAGGCTTGGTTGATTGTCTAGAGTAGAGAAAATGATGGAGAAAATGTTAATAAGGCAGATTAAACTTAAAAATGTGTCATTACTATATTTTTTGGGGGGAGGGAGCTTTTTGTTGTTGTTCAGTCATTTTTGTCATGTCCTCATTTGGAGTTTTCTTGGCAAAGATACTGGAGTGGTTTCCCATTTCCTTCTCATTTTACAGATGAGGAAAGTGAGGTAAACAGCATTAAATAACTTGCCTAGAGTCACACAGCTGGTAAATGTCTGAGGCCAGATTTGAATTTGGGTCTTCCTGACTCCAGGGCCAGTGCTCTATTTATTGTTCCACCTAGCTGCTTTTTGGAGAGCTGGTTGTTAAATATTTATCAGTATATCTCTGACCACTTCCTACATGAAGCCTTTCCTGACCCCTCTCACCCCAGCTGGAAGTGCATCCCCAATCCAAAATTACCTTTTATTTACTTTGTATATTTTAAAAGCATTCTATATTTTGCTTTAAACTTAAACATCAAAAAGGACATCTCCATATACATAGCGGAACATACAGAAAATTGCACATGAAATCTCCACTTCATACTACTTTTAAATATATATACATATATGTATAAGTATATTTTATTTTTATTATTTATTATTTATTTTATTATTATTATTATTTTATTACTATTTATATTATTGTATTTGTATCTACAATCCTCAGCATTATTATTTTTTATTATTATCTTATGTATATTTTTGTAAATATATTTTATGTATATTTTATTTATGTATATTTTAAGATATATACATATATGTATATATAATTAAAAATCAATTTAAATTTTAAATTTTTTTTAAAAAGGTATATAAATTCTACACATTACTTCAAAAAATGTCTTGGGGGCAGCTAAGTGGTGCAGTAGATAAAGAACTGGCCCTGGAATCAGGAACGACCTGAATTCAAATCCAGCCTCACACACTTACCAGCTGTATGACCCTGGGCAAGTCACTTAAACCCAATTGCCTACAAATAAATTAAAATAAAATAAAAACGGCCCTGATTGTCTGTGCTTCCTTGTTATCTTCTTTGTATTTAAAAATGTTTTCAAGGCTCTCTTCCAGCAGTATTACTAACTGCCACCTCCCCATACTTTTGTATATCTTTTTATTTTCTTTTACATGTTGTTTCTCATGATGGAATGCAAGCTCCGTAAGGGAAGGACTGTTTCATTTTTCTCTTTAAATCTCTAGGACTCAGCACAGTGCCTGGTACATTGTAGGCATTTAGGAAATGCTTGCTGATTGATTGATTGCCTGTGGGTCACATAGATAATAAGTAGTAGAGATGGAATTAAAAAAAAATAGGTTTTTCTGCCTCCAAGTTCAACACTCTTTTCCACCACACTGTATAACTTCTCTCTTTTTTCTCCTGCTGCCTTCCCAAAGTTCAAGACTATTATGACTCATAAGACAATGGCAAATGTTGTCTGACCTTCAGAACACTGTTGCATCAAGGTCATGGCTGGTGTTTCCCTCAATCGAGTTTCCCAGTGGAAATGGTTCAGTTTTATTTTTCTATTGTGTGGCATTGGAAAACTCCAGTTCTTTGAATGGTAATTATGCAACTTTGC